TGGGTTACGTCTTGCTAAGACCAAATTTTTTCTGTTTTTTCTTTTTATTATGACAGTATGACATGTTTAAAATTTCCGATATCTTGCTAATATGGGCCAATAATATTGAGGTGATTAGTTAAGCATAGTTCTCCCGCCAAATTTTCATGGGTTTTATTCACAATTTAATCTTAAAGTTTAGGTATCAATTTTATCTTCTTTTTCTAATTCCATCATATTAGTAATTTTATGGCGTTTTGACATATACGCAAGTGCATTCCTTTTAGAGAGCGTTCCAGTTTCCTTTATTAAATGAGTTTTGTTAAAGTCTCAAGCCATGAATTTATATCCATCATTCTGAAGGGAAGATACTTGTTTCAGGTTCAGCGCTAGCCCCTTAATGATCCTCAGATCAGAGAGGTTTCATTAGCCATTATTCTTTCAAAATAAAATTAATACTTTATAAATAAACTAATAATACTTTTATAAAAAAAAGAAAAACATCGTAAAAACACAATTATTAAATCAGTAATTATAATTCAATAGAAATAATATCATTTGCATCGCCAATCTTTTTACTAATTGTTTCTGTTTGACGCGTATTGTGACGAGAATACGAGTGATGAAATCGACACGAAAATGCACATATTTGCGCACTCTTGATTAGCTTTCCGTAAAACACGATGAATGACCACACAACTCTCGAGAGCAACACTGAACGGTACAGACATAGGGAAGATTCACAGCGTCAAAACTAGGTCAGCGGTAAGAGCACATTTGATGAACGACGAACTTTCGATGTAGACACAGATCACGCATTAGGGGGCAGGGGGCTTCTCTGGAGAAATAATCTGGATACCAGATTCAAAGGATCTTGAAGCGAGAACGCCTAGAGAAAAATATAGGAACATAGGAGTCGCACACCGGCAAATTCATCTAAAGTGCGTAACATTTTATCCGTATAATCCTTGGGTATTTTCTTTTAGATATCCCTTTGAAGGTGGTATCCTCCGGCTTTCTGATGTAATTTCTCATACATTATTTGCTTTGTGAGCCGGGGCAACAGGAAATGAGACAATTTTGAATAAAGCGTAGTTTATTTTAGCATCCATCTCACAAGCGTCCCTCGTACCCTTGAGCAAAGCCCGAATACATTGTGTACGTCACGAAGCTCCTCCAATCAGCGATATTAATTGAAATCACGAGGTGACGCTATCTTCTCATCAGGAGTGTTATTAAGTCTTTATGTAATATGACAGATTATGAGTTTGGCGATTGGCGGGCCCAACAGGTTAATATATTTTATACTAAAGAAAGGATTCCGCCAAATTTAGGAACAGGATGCAATTTAGTAGAGAATCGCCAACACATTATTAAGCAATATAAATAGATTTAATTCAATCAATTGATTTAAAAATCTCATTACATATAAGACACATAACACCCGAATAAATACTAATTCAGAAGTCAAACAACAAAACCGTTTTACCAAATTTTCAACAGACTAGTTTCGATGGTTTACCGACCCACCAACTCAGCTGCAAAACCGCAAAATCATTACATATATATATATATATATATTGTTTGTTTGTTTGTTGGTAATACACGGACTTCCAGATCAAAGTCTAACCTTATGAATGTCAATTCCTAAATTCTTTTCTTCTTATTTCTATATAATATTTGGGAACTGAGCGTTATTACTTTTCCTTTCAATTTTAATTTCTAGGTTTTAATAACTTTCCCGTGATTATTGTATTTTTAAGTATCTTAACTAATGAATGTTAGCATTTTGGTAAATAGAGGACCATGACATCATTTCAACAAAAATATGAATTATTTTTCTACAGGCGAAGCTTCTTTAACTTCTTTTAAATAATTCGGCTTTTTTCTGATGTCGTTTTGAATTTTGTATTAAAACGGTTACTATCTTTACTTCCTTCTACGAAGTAAAGGAAATATTGTAATCGCGAAAAATTTCGAATGTCATATTTGAAAAGAAATATCCATTTTGACTATTTTTTCGCCTGATGGATTCCTTTTCCAAACTGGACGGTAGAATGGATTCCAAACGGATTTTATTGTGACGTGGCGTGTTTACGTACCTACGTATGTATCTCGCATAGCGCAAAAATGATTAGCCGTAGAACTTTGAAATTATGTATATGGGATTGCTAAAGCATCTAGTTGCGCAACTCACCTATGCAATCTTCACTACAGAATTATATACATACATCTCGCGTACCTGGCTTGAAAGACCTTACCTAACCTTTATTTTCGCAATCGTTGGTTGTAGTCATATACTTCCAATTACAAAACTGTTTTAAATGACGAAAATATTCATGTTTTCACAATGTCAGAATTAAAAAAGTATAATTTTGGACAAATAACTAAATCTAACTTTTAATACTGTCTCTCTGTACTTATATTCGGGAAAGTTTTATGCTCGTTATAAAAAAATAAAATTATAAGAAGTTTGACTCCCAAATGACAAAAATTGTCCGGGATACTTAATGTCAAAATTTGCAATTTTTTATGTCATTTTCAGCTTGCCTTGAGGGATCGGTTAATTAAGTTAGAGTAATTCGAGGATATAAGTTTAAATAAAGTCCAGAGATAAATGCGCATAATTTCATAATAATTTTTCCCTACCTAGATGTGTTCAGAGAACGAGGTTTCCTAAATTTTAAAATAAATTCTTCCACATAGTGAGTTGTGTCGTTTTACTAACAAACTACTTGCGTAGGTCACGCGAAAACTTTCTGCCAGCCTAATACAAAAACCCACCCACCACAGCGAGGCAAACATGAACTGACATTCAGTCTTTGATTTCGCCTAGTCCATTGCATATTCACCTTCTCTAATATTTAAGGATTATTTGACGCTTAAGGTGTAGCGCAGACAACCATAAGACGGATGAAATTCAAGTCCCTGAGAAATAGAAGTGAAGAATAGCAATTTCATATTTTGTAAAATTTTAATGTATATTTGAATAACAGTCTCAACGATTTGAAAGCGAGCAATGGCAACACTCTATGGAATAAAACACTTTTATCTCCAGCGCAGGAGACTGTCTATCGGAAATTCTAAAGATATGCGGTTTTTAAATATTTTGTGATTTTGCTGTTGAATCGAATTTTGGCGTAAGAGCCAAAAGCGTGATATTTAATAGATAAAGTAAACCAACCCACAAAACGTTAATAATAAAAAGACAAAAAGAAATTTTGTAAAGCCAGCTTGTTAAGAACACTGGTATGAGGAATACTAGTATACTGAACACAGGTATGAGGAATTGAGAAAAGCCTGGGGAAAAAAATGTATATCAACACTTACACTGCATCGGGAATTCTAAACGTATACCAAAGAATTTCTAAGGAGAAGAAGTAACGGTTCCCCGGGGCAACTGTGGCTCCGTCAGACCGAAGAGACACATTACGTATATCCCTGAAGCTTACTTTAAAGGGACAAACCATTCCAAAGCTATCCACCCTCCGTACCTCACTGCGCATGTGCGAAATAACATCAGGAGGCAACAAAGCAGCATCAAAGAATGCAGCATGCCGTCGGCCATGTTAGCAATCTTTTACCACGTTGTTCGAAAACGTTCTTTGTTGTTGTAGTCAGAGGTACTTGGTTTTAGCTATGTGAAATTCTTTTAAAGGCCTTTTAAATGTAATACTGTAAGTGAAATGGTTTTGGCTATCGGGTGAAAACTTTGCTCTTGGTTTTCACAATGGTCATTCCAAAAAATTTGTCTAAACATTTTCATGGTAATTTGTTTTTAAAGTTGTTGTCGGATAAATATAATGTATTTCAGTGTTTTCAATTTATTTAGGGGTGCCTTTAATTGTCTTTAAATATTTTTTTTTGTTTGTTTGTTTCAGTTAGTTATTGCAAATTTTGCTTTTAAAATTTCACTGTAAAATTTTAACTATGGATCCATAAAAATTTATTACGTTTTGTATGGCATGTATTTCCCTCCCTTTTTAAGTTTACAGAAGAAAAGAATTAAGAAATTTATTTCATTTAAATTTTGTCTTCGTACGGCTCGCTGTTTAAATTGAAATAAAAATTGGACAGGATTTCTATAATTCGCCCCAAAATTCCAACTAACATCCTTTTGCTCATAAAACTCCAGAAATGTATGAAAATAAAACATTTTGAGTTATTTCAAAGTAAAAAAATTACTATCTCCTCGAACTGCGCTGTTTAAATTTCACCCAGCGCTGGTGTTTCATTGCATAGCCGTGGCTCTTCGGTACAGCGGCGCAGAGGCGAAACAGGTTTACATTGCGTCTATAGAAGCTTTCATTCTTCTCCTTAGAGATTCTTTGCGTATACTGCTAAACTGGTTTAAAATCTTTTGTGATTTTGCTGTTGAATTGTGTATGGCGTAAGTACAAAGAAAATGGTGCTTAATAATAAAGTTAAAAAGACAAAAAAAAATGGATTAGTGGGAGAGAAATCAACAGCATACCTGGTAAACTGTGATCTCCGCAAGAGCGTAAAACACCTTAACAAACCCTTTCGGCCGACTGTTAAAATCTGAAAAACCTTCCAGATTTTTTTTAAATTAATTTTCCTAAGCCTTCCCCCCCCCCTCAAAAAAAAAAAACTATATTCTGTTCTGTGAGTCAACAGAATAAAAAGACCACTGGTTTAGAACGGTGCAGCATATGAATAAAGCAGGTTTGAAATACACCAACTGCAAATTACATGCTTTAAAAAGTAGGAATTCGAGAAATTTAATTCATAGATTTAAAAATAAAAGATATTTAAGTTTAATTTATAGATTTCACAAATTCTTAAAACAACTCATCGTGATCGTGATTGCCTGAATGTTAATTAGGTGGTTACTGTTTTTAAGATTTTAAGTTATTAACAATTTTTTAGAAAATAAAAAATTATTAAAATAAATCTGCTAGTTTTTGTATGTATTAATCTTCCCTAATTTATATTTTTTAATGTCTTTTGCTAGTAAATAAATGAAAATGATAAGAACCATAGTTATATTAACTTACTTTATTGATGCTGTATATTCAATAAAATGTAATTTAAAATACAATGGATAACTAAACATTTCCTTAAGAACAGCGAATCATGCTCTTAGTTATGATGATCTTTTGTATCTCTTCCACAAAGATAGCCTGTATAGGACCTGTCAAGACTAGTCGCAGGACCAGAGTTAAAACTGGCGTTAGAATTCCTTGCAGTAAGTTGGCAACAAAAGTTAAATCCAAGCCCAGGAGTTCAAGTTTGGTTACTTTTACCACTTCAAAGCCGATTACCTCGCAGGTTGTTCCAGGCAAAAATACTTGCCGCAATTGTATTAACACCCTAACATTTAATGCGAGAATGTTTAAGACTAGATTTACAACATCCCCCAAGAGTCTTGTAAGACTAGTTCCAAGATTTCCAAGGAGGCCGCCTAAAAGACCTGAAAAGAACAAGATCACAGTTTTTACCTCACATTATTTTAGCATGTCTTTTATTACCAACAAATTATTATAAATATGTTTTATTGTTATTAATTTCCTCACTAAAACGCCTTTCAACACAAATAAAACGATAAACGATTTAAATAAATGTATGTATATAAATTAAAATCTAACACTCTAACAAGAGTTTCTTTCCGTTGAGTCACTGACATTACTTATTACACTCTGTCACAAGGTGGAAAAAATATATGCACCCAGAAGAAAGCGAATTTCTGTCACGAAACTTAACATGTATGTAGTGTATGATGAGATAAACAAATGATTACAAATTCAAAACAAGAGATCAAGAAGTTATAGCATGAAAAAGGTTACAAATCACTAAGTAGTATAGCCACCTCTCGCAGCTATACGAGGGAAACACGGCGTGTCATCGAATCAAATTTGTCACTTATGACCCCCTGCAAAAGATCATGCCATAATCTTTGTAAATGGGCGCTTAATTTACCAATATTCCGAAACGGCTGCAGTTACCTTCCAAGCACGCCCAAACGTGCTCTATTGGCGAGATGTCTGGTAACCTGAAAGGCTACAGGAGTACGTCATATCCTTGAAGGTACATCAACCCCTTTCTTTCCCCCCCCTTTCCAAAGTGCTACTATACGCCTCTTCAAAGTCCGACAATTGTTCGTACTGCCGCCGTTTACGTCTCAGAGGCATCTCTAGTCACAATATCGTCCATCCAAGACGACAGATTCGTTTGAATAGCCCCACGGCACGAGCAATCATGCTTTTAAACTCCGGTTGCGTACCTCATATGCGCATAACGCACTTACTCTTGTCTCATTGGCGTCAAAATGTAAATCATTTGCGTATCTTCTACGAGACTACATTCCTGCTGAATTTAGTGGTTGGAGTTCAATTCTTCTGAATGCGTACTTCCCTTTTTATTTTATTTTATTTTATTTTATTTTATTTATTTATTTATTTTTGACACTGTATTTCTTATACGTTTTATTTCCTTGTACAAAATAAAGGAAGTATTGTAATCGCAAAAAATTTTGGGTATCATATTTCAATATTCCATTTAAACGATTTTTTTCCCTAACATTTATACGTACGGACAGAATAAATGGCCCTTTTTTTTTCCAAACGGATTCAAAAATGCATTTAAAAGGGATTCAAAAGAGAAGTTCTCGTGACATTTGTAGGCATACATGTGTGCATGTATCTCGCATAAGTCAAAAACGTTAGCCGTAGAACGTTGAAATTTTGTATATGGGACTGCTATAACATCTAGTTGTGCACTTCCCTTTTTTATTGCAGTCGGCAGTACCAAACATATATATATATATATATCAAACAAATAAGATAATAATATGTAATAAATTGGGCAAATAAATGGTATTGCAAATTGAAATAATTTTAAAATTAAAACAAAAAATTGGAGTCAAAATAATATTTCCTAAATCGTATAAATTCAACATAGCGATAAAAGGAAGACAAAAGAAAAATAATAATAATAAAAAAAAACGCTGTATTATTATCTTCAGACTCTTACTCCTTACTTATGGCTAGCTTTTGACTCCATTTTTTGTTTTAATTTGTAAAAAAAAATTTAAGTTGCTCAATTTATTATACACTATTTTCTTATTTTTTTCTTTACTTGTTTAGTTTTAGTTTCAAATTTATATATATTTACAAATTATATATTATAGTATTATGCGCAGGAAATGTTTTTTATATCGCATATATTTTTTTCTAATTTAAGTATATGCATATATATGTGTATACGTATATATATGGTAAAGTTTAAAAGAAGAACATATTCATGATTTGGGCAATGTCAAATTAAAGAAAAGAAAATTTTGAACAAATAACAAAATTTAACTTTGAATGCGGTCTTCCGGTTCCTATAGTTATATTTGGAAAAGTTTAAATATTCGTTACGAAACAATAAAAGTACATACGAAACATTTGTTTGCCATACGAAAAAAATTGACCGAGGTATTTAATATCGAAATTCCCAGTTTTTGATGTCATTTAACTTGCTTTGAGGAATCGGTTAATTAATTTAGAACAAATCGAGGAAATAAGTTTAAATGAAGTGCAAAAAAGGCTGTGTATAATTTAAAAGGCCATACAAAGAAGTCTTGTGTTGTTTCTTTTGTAGATATATAATTAATTTTATTTGGTGAGTTGTTTCAATGTAATAAACGTACTAAATTTGTTGTAGTGAAGTTTAGCAAAAGATAGATTCGTGAGCAGTTGAAATTCTGCCTCTTACAATTCACATCTAAAACATTAAAATACGCGGATATTCCTTTGGATACTTCTAAAATTATATATAATTAAAAATTTTCACATTGAGGTATTAATGCGAGTTTAAAGAAATATAGGGCAGTAGAGAAGTAAGCATACGAGACACCAGGACTTAACCAATATCGTTGTACAAGTATTGTCCAGTGATACTAGAATTATTTCATGTATTTTCAAGAGAGGTACACGAATCCCTCTGCTTCAAAGAACGAAAACTACTCTGCGCCTTTTTTTTTTTTTTTTTTTAAATGCATAACTTTAATAGAAGACATAAAATAAATAAGTAAAATTGAAAGCAGTAACTCTAACACCATTTATGAAACAAAATGAAGAAAAAATATTACATATGCTATGGAATAATGCTTTTAAATTCATTAGTACCTCGCTATGCTTCCATTTTTAAGTCAAACTTACTACGTCCTGTTTGGAAACGAAACTCTTTCTGTGGTGTTCGATATTTGTTTGGAATACGACTCGAGTTAAATGCGTCTTCACGACTGTGCGTACACACTTGTGTACATCTTGCACCCAAAAAAAAAAAAAAAAAAAAAAAAAAAAGAGAAGTTCTATATCTCCTGTTCTACGGGGCCGATTGATGAAAATTAATTTTCATTTTTCATGTTCGAAAGCGCGATTTAGGATATGTATTAGATTTATATATAACATTGTTTTAACATAAGTATTTTTTTCTTCTATTTTTTTTTATCATAAGTATTATTTTTAAGTATAAGGACTTTTTTAAAAATAAAATACCTATTTTCTTTTTTTTTTTTTTTTTTTTTTTTTTTTTTCTCAATGTTTCGATTGTACGACTCAAATTATGCCAAAGTGCGAAATTTTGTAAAAATCGTACAAATAGATTTTGGAAAATTAGCTCTCAAAATTTTAGCTCCTCATTGCTAATTGAATTGGTATATGTTTATTAATAGCTCTTTTTTTTTTATTAAAGTTACTTAATTCCTTCTTTCAAACCTCGAAATTTAGGTTCAATTCAAATAAAATTCGCAGATATTTTCTGATTTATTTTTTTAATTTATATTCTTTAGAAATTTTTACGAATTTTTCGAAAACATTTTTGAATTATAACTTATGAAATTTTTACCATCACCTTAAAGTAGATGCATTTTTAGGCATACCCGCAAAAAATTAGTTTTTATTCAAACTTTTCTAAGGTACTGAATTTATAAACAGGCGGTTTTTAAAATTTGGCATATTTGTTAGCGATAATTACGCCAAATGGGCTTTAGGCTCTTTGTTAAAATTATTTGAAAGAAGGTGAGAGTCACCTCTTTTTTCCGCTCGTGCACAATGAAAAAGGGAAAGGAAAATAGTTTACTTTAAATTGAGATTTTCGGCAATTCTTCTTGGCACAAACTGAAAAAAGTGCGCCATGATAAATTTTTAAATTTCTCGGTGGGTTTCTCAATAAATTTTACAAAATTTTATATTTGGGCATAGTTTGAGTCACAGAATCGAAATATGAAAAACAATCGGTATGTCATTTCTGAAAAATGGTGCCATTCTATGGTAAATGCAGTGTTGGAGTCTGGTCATGCCGACCTGTCGGGTTTTGCAGTACGGGTTCAACAAATTTGTTAGGAGGACTATAAACTTCCTTCAACTTAATAAAGGGCACTCGAGGGAAAACTGATGAACTTTTTTATATTCTGCACTCAAAAAATATCCGTGTTGCCTGCTTGCAGGAAACGAAACCAAACCCAAATTGAACTTAAAAATCAAAGGGCGTACTGTAGTTAAAGAACAAAGCACCTTAAAGGATTGAAAATATTCCCTAATGATCAGCAAAGTTATATTAGCCGCCCTCCCTGTTTTCTTGGTGCATAACTTTCTGCATTACACATCTTTGACTGTCCTGTCATACTGACCGTGCTGTTCAGTATTGATTTTGTCCCACTGGAGTGCCAGCTCCTGTATTCTTCAAGAATCGTCGACGTTGCTAGGGCTATTTTAGATACTTTTGATCCTATTTGATCTTTCTGTACTAACGTTTGGACAAAATTTCAATAACATTAACAGAAGTTCTGGAACCATTTAGAAAACCGTCGAGAAAGATGAACAGAAATAAATAAATAAAATAACTAATAAATAATTAAAGTTAAGATTAAATAAAACGTAAACATATATGTAAAAATATAATAAAAGTTAAGTTAATGATAAATAATTAAAGAATAAAATAAACTTCGTAAAGTAGACCTCGTCTTATTTGGATTTGTGAGTAGAATTACTATTTCATTTAAAGAAATAGAAAATAACGGAGCAAGGATCAGGAGCCCAGAATGTACAGTACAATATACTATTTCAAGGGATGACAGAAATAAAGATCATTTCTTTTAAACCGCAATACTAAAAAAAAAAATAAAGCGATTAAAGCGTCAGTAATGAGAATAAGAGGGAATGCAAGAAACACTATGAAAGTAGGGAAAGAAATTTTAATGGAAGGAAACTAAGGAAATTTTGAAGATATGTAAGCATGTAAACAGAGAGAAGAGTCCCAAACCTTTCTGACTATGATCTTCCTTTGGAAATAATTCTAACTGTTAAGAAGAATGTGATATATTCTTCGAAGAAGAATGTGATCTATTATTATTCGTTGAGAAGAATGTGATCTATTATTATTCGTGAGAAAAAATATCTTAAAATGTGAGGACTGATTTGTTAACAGAGAATAAACGTAAGACTATGTACAAGGGATCATTTTCTTTCTCCATATTATTACACTGTCGTCAAAAGTCCGCAATCTTTTCCGTGAGAAGTCAATAGCGTTCGATGTGTTTTACCATTTAACTAAATATTTTATTATAGTAATCCCACTGTAACTTAGAAGAAGTTATACTAAGGAACTTTCACATGGATTCCCTTTCCCCATAAGTCGCGGTTATCTAAAACCACCGATAACGAATCAGTGAATACGACAGCACGAAATGAAAAATCTATCCTTTCTCAGAGAAGCTCTGGTTAATTTATTCCTCTTTATGGAATATAAGATTTTAACGTTTTCATCTAGTTTAGGAATATAGTCTCTTAAAAGTCTCAACCTCTGTCCAAGAGGTTCTGCTTGTTTCCTTGGGTTAGACAGGCATGCGTTCAGAAGTTAGAATCGATTTTTAACGCTCCCCTATTACAAATTAAAATTTTATGAGATCAAAAGAATTTTCTGCTGGAATTGTGGCTTAGTTTTATAAAAGAAATGCCGGAGCTCTTCTCGTTCAGAGCTCTGAACGGTCTGGCTAGAATTACTAGTGATCTCAAAAACCACTAAGTCCGGAGCTGATGTCCAGTGGGTTCTGGCACAATTTAAGCTCTAGTTTATCTTTTTCGAAACAGTGACTCGAGACTTCCCACGAGCACCACTACGTCTGTCGGATTATAGGCTATTCGCATATATTTTAGACGATATTCTTTGGATATTTATAGAAATATTTTACACCAAAACTTTTCTGTTTTAAATTTCTTATTTGATAACCCCTCATTATCTTTCCATACCATAATTTCCAAGACGGTAAAACCTTTTGCTAGTATCGGAAGAGTTATTTTATCTCATTGCTTTTGAACAGCTTTCCAAAGTCCAAGAAGAGTTATAAGTCGACGTTTGAATTATGCGTTTTTTTAAAGTCCAAAAGCTCAAAACTACATGGGGGATACATCAGGAGATTTGTCGGGGATGTGAGTAAGGGATATGAAAACTTTTCATTAGATTCTTTGAATCATGTTTTAAAATTGTTTTCTTCTTTTTTGGTGATAGAGTCATTAGGATGTTTATATGCTGTAGACGTGAAAAATGAGCAATGCCGGGACTTGAACCTGGAGCTGTCGAATGCGCGCCGAGTGTGCAACCGTTACACCAAAAAAGCATGCAGAAAGGAGGGAGAAAATACTTTGTAATAAATGGATCTCTTTTTATTGCAGTCATTTCAATATACCCAAAGTTCTTCCATTGTGCTTACATTTTTCCAACTTTCTCCCGCTAAACGTTTTTGATTGAGAATTCTGCAGCGCGTTTTGCTTTCAACGATATGTCGTGGAGAAAGACAATGTACATTATGGGTTTTTTTTTTTTTTTTTTTTTTTTTTTTATTTTTAAGATTTACATAAGCATTAATCACTTTGTTTACAGTTCACAATGAGAATTTTAATGATTTTTAATTTATCCTTTGACTTGACAGATTCCCTTTCAACATGAAAGATCTTATGTTTGCAACATTCGAAGTACTCAGTTTTTTTCCTTGGATATGTATTTGGAATACTTAATCCACTTGAAGCCAAACTTTGACATTTCTTTTCCTTTCTTGCTGACCATATTACCTATCGTAGCTTTAGATATCGAAAAAAACCATGGCTTTCACAGCGTTGTTTTAATAACAAGAAATAACAGGAATAATTTTCTTCAGAAAGAGCACAATCATAGCCTCTCATCCATTGCTTCTTTAAAAGCGCCATTTTACATGAAAACAAAACTGTCAAGTTGCAGACGATAATTTATGCTTTTAAAAATATAGTTACAGTTAAAAAAATTTCCGAACAGACAATTGTTTTATATAGCCAAGTAAAATCGTCTAAAAAATCTGTAAACAGCGTCTGTATTATTGAATAAACAACCCGCATCATAACTGAATTTTCAGATAATTTTTGTCATTTTATTTATAAATGTTTTGTAAATTTGTTATGAGTTTTAAGAAACTTAATGAGAAAAGACAAGCAAAAAAGAGAATGGTTAGAATCACCCTGGAAGTGGGGAAAAAAATTGTTGAAAAATGTGAAGTTGGAATGCGTATCCGAGGCTTGGATACTGCGCCGAGAACGACGGTATCTACAGTTGTGAAAAAAGAAAGACGCCATTAAATCAACTAAACATTGCGAAGTGCTATCTGCGAAATCTCAAATAAGCCGTAATAGCATTGTGTGGAATAAACAAACAGCGTCACTTTTCCTAAAAATCTTGAGGAGAAGACTGAAAGTTCTTTGGACAGATTTAATCATCACCCAGGTCCATCAAGGACCATAAAGAAGTAACTAAGTAATTAAATTTGGTAAATTTTCATTTATGTAGAGTTTATTTCATCTACTGCTTTGTATTATAAAACTGTATTAATATAATAACAGTAGGATTTTTTATAAGAACGGATTACTTATTTATCCTTTATTTCTTATAGGAAAAGTCCGATTGGTATAAGTCCAGTATTGTATAAATCCAAGGATCTGAAACTAAAGTCTCTTGGCTATAAAATTATCTTTCATATTAAGGATGAATATCTTTTAAGTTTTGAATTAATGGTTATAATTTAAATACTTGTGATAATTTCGAAAAGGGAACCATTTAAATATTTCTTGTACTCCGATGCAGTTTATATTTTCTATTTTTCAGTTGAATTCAAACATATTAAAGTATTGCATTACAAAAATAAATTTTTAGCCCAAAAGCGTTATTTCTCTCGAATATGATTTTGCTTTCTTTCAGTTTTCATTCGAGTCTGTTGCCTTTCGGGAAAACGAAAGATATATTTTTCTTTTCTATTCAGTCTGTCCGTTATTAATTAACTAACTATTACATTTAAAAAGAATAGATGTAGTTCATAAAATATTAGTTTTTACTTTTTAGGCTGATTGATTGAAATAAAAATGCATTTAATCCATGATATATCTAATTAAGAACATTCAATATTTTTATAGAATTTCATTGCGTATTTTTTCACTTTTCTAATACACAGAGAATAACTAGTGTTGTTATGTTAATTAATTTAAATGCATATTTGTCTAACATTGTATAAAATATTTCTCTTTCCCACCTGGGCTATCTCTATCAATAACCTGTGATGATAAACCGTACTAAATTTTGAACGAGCTCTTTTAAGCGATTGTTAAAATCTGAAAACTTTCAGATTTTTTTATATTAATGTTTTCTTCCGTTAAATTGTTTGTTTTATTCTGTAACAACACTATGATCTTAGGTAATTCCTAACTGTTAAAAATTCTAAATTTTAAAGCAGAACTGAGAGAAGAGACTGAAAATACTTTTTTCTCCCTATGTTTATTCATATTCTGCCTTGGGAGTGACTCTCGAAATTGTAGTGTTAAAATTGATTTTATGTGTTTTACCTCACGATACAAATAAAAATTTAAAGCAACATAAATTCAGTAAAAGATATTAATTAAAACATTGGTGTGAATTAATCTATCTCATTAATTACGGTGTAAAAACTTAATTATTCGTCATCAACAAAAGACAGTTAGCAGAAAATTAACAGAATATACAAACCTTCAAGGAGTGACAGCGTGTATGTAATTGTGATTCTCAGGAAGTTTATTTCTAATCTGATAATCACAGAGTTTTTCTCGCATGTGCATTTCGGAGTTCCTTCTAGTTTGAAGTTATTAAATCCTGCTGCAGAGCCACTGGTCAATTGTAGACTGTCAACAGTTTCATCAGACAAGTCGAACGAATCGTCGAGCTTTTCAGCGACATCGCTCAAACAATCACCAATGACCTTAATCAGTTCTTCTGTCGGCTGACAGTTTCCTTTGCGCTTGTGTCTGTAGTGGACCAATTCATTATCTAAAAACAATAATTTTATATTATATACGCTGACATTACATTTATTATGAAAGCAATATTTAATCCATACTTTCTGATTACCGGTGTAACCGTCTCGCTACCAGATACTAGGTGGTTCAAGAAGGGTGACATTTTTTCACGTGAATGAAGAGCAGTGTAGATGGTTACACGTTCTCATCGATTAGACCGAGTAAGTTCATGTGCACTCCATCTGCCAAACTTAGGCATAATTTTGAATTGCCTCCAATAGCGATGGATTGATGAGGACGACAGAACCGTCGTTGGCCCTTGCGAATATTCAACATATTTTTACCTTACACTTTCTCTACAACTTTTATATCACTCGCTGTACTATTGCCTTTGTGTGTATTGTTTGTGTCGTACTTTACTGTACTATTGCATCATGTATGCTCTTCTATGTCCGCTTTTTCATATAGAGCTTGTAAGATTTCGTTTACTTTTATTAACCAGTTATTTTACGTTAATGTGCTTTTCTGTTCTTCTCGTTTCCCCTTTTCCCGCTAGAATGTAAATTTCTAGCTCGTATGTATTCAAATGAGGTAGAAACAAGTTGGTAAAAAACGTTTTTAGAGGGTAGAATCTGAGCATGATCCGCCTACTAAAGACAACACTGCTAATTTGATTCTCTTGAGGTATTCTGCTGCGTTGCGTTATTCTCGTCACTAAGCTTCTCATGCCAACTTTTACGTCAGAGCCATCTTACGAATTACTTAACTGTGATGCCTTTAGGCTTACTTATTTTTACTTAACTAAGTCAATTCATTATCTTTTATTTAAGCCATAAATTGTGGCTATTTTTGTGAGCACGAGGGGTGCTTTCTGTTAAACTTTGAGGTAAGTAAAAGGGTCCTTTACACCCTTTCTCAGTCTGTGTAATACTTTACAAGACATAGTGATAATTTATTTAAAGGTTTTAGAAGTTTCGTACATTGGATGTTGCCAAAGAACACAAGATTTCATAAGCTATTAAAGCAACAAATTAGTGTCCGTGTACTTTCAAGCCAGAATATATTTGAAAGCATGTATACTTTCGTGAAAATAACTTGTTTAAACGTGTTAGAACCTGTTTTAAGAAGTCCTGTAGGAGAAATAACATTTCTTAAGGCATGATTTATAAAATTCATAAATGTATTATGGTAAAATCTCTGTTATCCGAGCCCCAATCGACTAAGGTCGCTGCTCACCGAGCCAGCAGTGAGTTTTAAGAAATCACAAGGAAAATGTCATGTAACAGGAAACGAAAAAAATAGTATTCATGAATTCTTTTCTCTATGATTCATCTTTTGATCTTTCTTAACGTCCTTTCTATTCTGCATTACGGTTGCAGTGAATTTGTTTTAAAAAAATTTCTCCATTTTAATCGAGTAGCAAAAATGTTATTTTTTTTTCAAACTTACTAAACTAAAACATTTCAAGTGAGAGAATTTTCAACGCATTTTTTAAATGGACTTGTTGTGTTAAAACAAAAATAACAACAACCGACGCCAACTAATGCTAAATTTGCAGAAAAAGTTCAAAGGATAAAACTATGCATAGACGTAATATAGGATAACGTTTCGGATGAGATAAATGTTGAAAACAGCTAACCAAGTTCTCCAGCTTTAACTGACAAAGAAATTATCCACCCGGAGAACAATAAAAATTGCAGCGATGCTGAAAGTGATGCTGAATACGACGATGAAACAGAAAATGTGAAAATTAGTCATGCTGAAATTTAAACAAAGATCTTTATAGAGAAACGTCCTGATGGTACGAATCTCCTTGCGAGCTTTTTTCTTGCGTGAAAAACGGACATAATTTTTCTTTAACAGCATTGTAGAACTATCACGGGGAAAAAAAAAAAAAAAAAAAAAAAAAAAAAAAAAAAAAAAAAAAAACAGAATTTAGGGAAAAATTGTCGTATAAAAAAGGCATGTGGGAAATTGGACAAAATTTCTCAATTTGTATATATTTTGACGATGTTTGTTTATTCCTGTTTTTAATAAGTATTTTTGTTAATTTCTAGAAGCAAATTTTATTTAGTAAAAGAATTTGTTAAAATGTTAATAGTAATATCTGTGAGCTAATTTTTAGTATTTCGATAAACAATTTCAGAAAACTGTCGAAAGAAGAATCGGCATGACTTAAAATTTAATTTCCATTCACCGAATTTTGAGATATCTGAGGTGTTTAAGCTCCTAATTAACTTCAATGATCGATGTTCCACTGTATTTTTATTTTTCATTCATAATTTATTTATGTTTCTACTCATGAAATACGAGGAAAGTAAATAGTTTTGCTAATAATAATTTTGACCACTATTTGCCTTGCCGATGTGTGCTGTCCGCTTCACCTGACGGTAAAAGAAGCATCCCATACAAATCACGTTAGCAGTCTCACTTGCCTGACAATGGTCAACATAAGCCCTCGACATTCATTGTGGAAGGAATCAAACACGCCGGCCATTGGAATGAGCCTTGAGCACCATATAGGGAACAGCCCGACTATAGCTCAGTTCCGCCTCCAATTTTGATAGATAGCACTCAGGGGGGACGGCTTCCCGGTTCTCCCGCCCTTCTTCTCCTATCACCAAGCTCTCGAGAGGACTTTCAGTTCGCTGCATATTTAGAGTGCCCCATGCCGCACAGACCCTATACATTTACAAACATACATGCCTTCTCCGGGATTGGAACCTCGACACTTCCGTGCGGAGTCATAGTCACTAACCACTATCCTACTTGGGCGACTTCCAATGACTATTAAGCTGTGTAAGCAGCAGACTGCACGATGATGCCCATTAATGAGGCAAAAATCCAATACGGAGACAAAAAGGATAGCTGCTGAACGGCTGTGTATTTGAATGGCCACAGTATAGTAAATTTTGGGGTAGTTTTCTGTTATTGGGCCTGACTCAGAAATGTATGTATATATGTGCGTACGTACATATGTAGTGCATGTATACATGAACACATACACCCATAAATACATGTATGCATGCGTGCATTTCTGAATCCGGTCCCGATAACAGAAGAATATCAATTTTTGTTTATTGCCCAATAGATATCTGAATGTAATTTTCAATGCTGTTGAGTAAAAGTTTCAGAATTTTATTGAAATATACGTCTTATGGTTTTTTTAATATCCAGTGTACAAAATTACTGATTTAAATAAAAATTCGTGATACTTATTTAAAATGACTGCTCTCGAAATTTTCAAACAGTTTGTACTATTAATTTTTTAGTTGGGAAGAAAAATAATCTTCAGTAGTTTCGTTAAAATTGAAAGGATATATAATTTTATCATACTCACCCCGAGTTGAATTACTTGCTACAAAAGCTAGAGACATCTCAATATATTCAAAACTCAAAAGCAATGCAAAGAAAACGGCCCATTGTTTCACTTTCATCTTCAGAAATTCTGCGTATAAAAAATTTGTGAAAAATATGTTAATTTAAAATAATATGAATACTCTGTTTAAGTATTAAATTATTTCAAAGGAAGAAACTGTAAGTATTTTTTTCGTACTTTCGATATTTCTTGTATACATTAAAGGCCATACTAATATGATTAAATACGGCGAATCCTCTTATGGAGAAAAAGCCAGGGCTGAGCTTGTCTTCTAATAGAACATACATAATATATTGTAGTACATATTAACACTCTGCACGCACACACCAAGAAAAGGGGGGACAGTTCTAGAACTCCCCGTTCTACTGGGTCGACTGACGAAATTTAAAGTACATTTTCCATGTCTCGAACGCGCGCCTTAGGATATACTATATTAGATTTATTTATAGCATTGTTTAAACATAGGTATTCTGACACATAATTGGACTTTTTATGAAATAACACAGCGATTCATTTTCATATTTCAATTCTACGACTCAAATCTATGACATAATTATTACGACTCAAAAGTACCAAGCTTTTATAAAAATCGCACTTTAAAAAATTAGCTTTCAAAATTTTAACTCCTCAATGTTAATTGAATTTTATATATATTCATTAACATTTATTTGTTGTTTATTATTATATTTATAAATTTTACACCAAATTTATAAAATTTAATATTATATGAAAGGTTGTACTACAATATGTGTTCGAAATTACAACCAGAAGTCCTCTAGCAGGCCTGACAGCAGCGCTTCATGGAATTCTTTATGTTCTGGAAGATTCCTGGTATGTAACGTATCCTCCCAGCAGCTACAGATATTCGAATGACGAGGTCTTTAACTGAAATGGGCGCTGCTACACCAAATTCATCGTGTGATCCCAGAAGAAGTACATGCAGGATAGCCCTCCAAAAATACTCTAAATGATCAATAGGAGGAGCAAGACGAAAGAATGAAAGAATTTTGTCGAGAGAAACAGAACTACTCTAAATGATAAAAATACTCTAAATGATCAATAGGAGGAGCAAGACGAAAGAATGAAAGAATTTTGTCGAGAGAAATAGAACTAACTTCGTTCGAATATGGGTTTTATGTGTATATATTGTTTTCTCGACAGACGGCGCTGGTTTGTTTTCGCTTCTCTTCCAGACGCTTTCTTTTCTGAAGGCTCTTATTCCTCTCAGTTTCTGTAGTCCGGTGACCTAGCATGGCGAATGAGCCGAGGCACCATACCCTATCCACCGCTCTCCAAGGGTTTCTTCGAGGTGTCTGCGGACGTCAATCGTGTAATATGGAGGAGCCCTGTCATGCTGGTACCACATGGAGCGGCTGAACGACGGAGGAACATGTGTTGCGTCAAGAAGTTCGGGTAGGACTTGTTGCAAGAATATCAGGTATGCCCTGCCGTCCAAAGGAACTGTCCAGTGAGGTAGTCTACAAGAATGCAGGCCCAAACATTGACCAAACGCTCTGGATCTGCACATGGTTACGTACGGTGAGGGTTCTCAGTATCCTCCAGACAATGGATTAAGTTAAACCCACTTGTTGAGCTATTGCTTGAGTATTCGTACTTGGATTGTCTTCTGCTAGCCATGAGACCGCCTTCTCATTGCTAGCTGTCCTTCTCGTTCGCTGTCGATTCATTGTAGCTATCGTTAAACAACCAGTCTCACGTAACCTTCTGTTCACACTTGCGAAGGTCCTGTGATGTGGAGCACGCCCTGTAAGGATTCGAACCTCGGACCGAAGTACCAGTGTTCAGCGCCTTTACCGCTCGGCCGCTGGTGGGCTCATCGTTAGGATTAGAGTAAAGCTTTTATCTCATGGCGATATCGTGAATGTGGCTGACGGAAACTTAAAAATAGAATTTCGGACTACCAGGAGCCGCGAGCCACCAGTTGGACACTACTGATTTAGTTGATGTTCGTAATTGTTATTCAAAAGTTTCGACGGTGTAAAAAGGCTACGCAACCGTTGAAATCTCGCGGTGATTTCTTTGATAACTTTGTCCGGAGTAAAAGCTGTTCTTCATTAATTATTGTAAAATAATGTTTGAAAAATGCTGCCCCCCCCAAAAAAAAAATATGCTGCCAAGGGCTGACTGCTCCCTCCGCCCCTCTCTAGCTACGCCATTGGGCTGTAAGAATAAGGAATATTTCTACTACTCTCAGGCTGGAATTTTAAATTATATATACCCGAAAAATTGTAGGATATATTAGTTTCACATTAAACAAGAAGAAAGAAAGGAACGATAAACTTTCTTTGTAGAGGGACTATGCAAAAATGTTAATTTTCTATACCTCCTTTTTTTAAAAAATACTGAAGAATGTGTATGAATGCATGTTCTTTGCATTGTGAGAAAACGGGAGCACCTAAAATCATCGCATTTAAAGCTGGTGTAATCCTCTACCCGAATGTATGCATCTCGAAGCCAAAATTTTGAATTTCGAATTTGCTCTTTATTTATTTTATGTTTTCTGCAAATTTGATGAATTGTTTATTAAAAACTCGATAATTTAAAAGCGAACAATAGAAATATTTCTCGAAATAACATTTTTATTGCCAGCACCCCAGACTGTTGCCATTCAACAAAACGTTATAAGGTATTTCTCCCGCCTTCCTAGCGTGCCTTCGTGGTGTAGTGGTTCTGCACGACGCTGGGCCGGTATTCCAGAGGTCCGTGATTCGATTCCCGGCGATTGCTCATTTTTCATCTTTCCTGTTTTAAAAAAATACCTAATGTATTTACATTGGCGCCCGAACTAAAAGGGCGTTGGATGATGATTCTCCTCACCCACGATGTGGCGATTGGGTCCTCTAAAAACCCCAGTCGCCCTTTAAAAGAGGGACTATAAAAGGTATTTCTCGCGCCTTCCTAGCGTGCCTTCGTGGTGTAGTGGTCAGCACGTTGAGCCGGTATTCCAGAGGTCCGTAGTTCGATTCCCGGTGAAAACGATTGCTCATTTTTCATCTTTCCTGCTTTAAAAAAATACTTAATGTCTCTACAATGTAATAATACATAGTCCTCCTCACATAGTTATTAAATTAACACATGTACTCTTCCACTCGAACATGTGCACTTCGAAGCACGAATTTTAATTTTAGAATTTTATATTTTGTGCGAATTTAGTGAAGCTGATTAACGGACTCATTGATTTAAAGCAAAACTTTTATCTTGCACTCGCTAGTGCGTTGTCTTTCGACAAAACGTAAGTAAGATATTTAACTTTCAAATTTAATCTTTTTGTTACTGATTAATAAAGCCATCTAAAAGCCATAAAGGCAGTTTTTAATAATACCATTTTATTTCAAAAGGGGCTATTAGTCTCGAAATGGGATTTTGGCGTCGGTTCACTATAAACAGCGTATAACATTTAAAACTGTTTCCACCAAATACTATCGGCCTGTATCATTTTTATAGAGATTAAATAATGAAGAATCTGCATGTATGTAGGTATGTACTTTGCACAGTGAAAAAACAATGGTACCTAGAGATATCAAATTTCAAATAACCTAGACCTTCACCCGAACATGTGCAGATCGAAGCCAGAATTTTGAATTTCGAATTTGTTTCATTTATTTCATATTTTGTAAACCTTTAATGAATTTTTTATCAACAATCTCAACGGTTTTAAATTGAGCAGTGCAACACTGTTCGAAGTAAAACATTTTTATCTTCAGCGCGCTAGACTGCTGCCATTCAGAAAAATGTAAGACATTTATACTTTAATTTTAAATAACAAACTCGGCTGTCTGAAAGCAGTGTGTTGTGGGGAAGGGAAATAAAATACTTTTATCTTCCATGCGCCAGGTTATTGCTAAAGTAAAGCCAAGTAAAACACTTTTAGATTCAATCTGGAAGGTTGTTGACCCATATTGGCTTTTCAATGGGATTGGTTTAAATAAACATGTATTAAAATCATGGAATATCTAATTAGAAACATTCAATATTTTTATGAAATTACACAGTTGGACCCATTAAGATTATTAGTTCAAAGGGGCAATTTTCCCAGAAGGACTATTAGTTTCGTTTAGGCATTTTACATTGAAATGTGGGTGCATTTTTCAAATTGTTGCCACCAAATATTACAGCCCTGTATTATATTTAAAGAAATTAAATAAAGAAGAATATGCATAAATGTACAGTGGTGGCCAAAATTGTGGACACCTTTGGAAATTTTTATGTTTTTGAACTTTGTATGCTTATAGAAAACGTTACGTTTCACAAAATGCAAACTTGTATATATCATTTTAAATAGAATTTATTACTGAATTCAATACAAAACACAAAATTCAATTATTTGCACACCAAAAAAAGTTAAACGATAATAGTTATCGATATACATTAGATAGTGATGATTGCAGTGAGTTATCAGTACTTAGTAGGGTACCCTTTATTTTTGATTACAGCTTCACATCGGCGTTTCATTGAGCTGACAAGAGTTTAAAGCTCTTCTTTCGTTATTACATGATGCCAGGAAACAATTACAGCCTCAATTAGTTCCCTTTTATTTGATGGGCGCCTCATTCGAACAAGAGTTTTCAAACGGTGCCACAAATTTTCGATAGGATTGAGGTCAGGACTGTTTCCTGGCCATGACAACAATTTAATGCTCTTTGTACGAAACCACTCTTTCGATATTTTGGCCGTGTGGCAAGGAGCAGAATCCTGCTGAAAAATAAACGAAATATTGTTGGGAAAGAGATCTCTGATGGAAGGTAGAAGTTTTGGTTCTAGAATAGTGTCAAAGTATTTTGTGGCATTAAGTATCCCATCGATGACATGAAGGCGACCAATAGCATCTGCTGACATGCATGACCAAATCATAACACTAACTCGGTTCATCACAGTTGCTTGAATGCAGTCAGGATGTAGCTCTTCTCCTATTCTACGTCTTACATATTTTCGCCCATCACTACCGAATAACGATATCTTAGTTTCATCACTCCATATAACTTGTGACCACTGATCATCTGTCCAATTAAGGTATTCCTTTGCTCACTGTAGTCTTTTTTTCGTT